TTAAGTACTTCCACTCACCAAAACAAATTATACAAAAAAAGAAAAATTAAACCAGCAAATGGGGAAATTTTGAATTACGTATGCAACAGGAGATTTACATACAGGTCTTTCGAAATTCCAATTTCAAAACAAGTGTACAATTATACACTTGCATAATTGTAGTCTTATTTCAATTAAACAAAAAACTACACACCAAAGACAGATCCTAGCTGATAAGTGACTTAAATTGCCACTTCACCAAAAAAAAGCATTTCCAAATGGTCAACCGATTAAAGGTTTTATTTCATTAGAAAGTGAGAGGAAATCAAAATCAAAATCACCTACGACATTTCAACAAATATACTACAGAACTAATGTAACACTTGAGCGTTACTAGAATGTAGAACTTAAAATTATTAAACACTGCACACTACCTTTAGGAACTGGTACAAAATCTTTGGAAAATGATTCTATCCACTGAAGCTAAATACATGCATACCGTATGACCCAGCAATTCTACTCCTGGGTTCATACCTGACAGAAATACATACATACATACATACATACAAATGTGTGTTAATGAATATTCGAAGTCAAAAAAGTAGAAATGAATATGAGTCAGAATAGATAAATTGTGGAATATTACAAATGGCCAACAGAGGTATGAAAATCAGCTCATGATTAGGGAAGTGCAAATTAAAACAACAATGATGTACCACTTCACACCAGTGAGAACAGTCTGTATGAAAAACATTGGAAATCCAGTATTGGCAGGAATGTGGTAAAAAGGAACCCTCATTCACCACTAGTGAAAATGTAACCTGATTCAACCTCTGGAACATGGCTAGGGGATTTCTCTGAAAATTAAAAATAGAACTGTTGTTTTATATATATAAAGAAAAAGAATTGGAAGCATCTAATAGCAACAACTCCTTGGACTTTGAATACAGAACTGAGATTGCCACAGAGGATTAGGGGAGAACTAGAGAGGAAAGAAAGAGGCAAAGAAGAGACACCATGACAGTGGTAGAGGGTCTTGGACACTCTGGTGGTGTCAGAAGCAATAATTTTGCATACCAGAAGCCTGAACATAGACACTAGTATAACCATGTTACTTCAACTACAATTTTAAAAAGTGGTATATACGTACAAACAGAAATAGAATGCACCTGTGAAAAATGAAAGAACTACAGTTACACACATAAAAAAAGAACCTTAAAAACATAATGATGAGCAAAAATAACCAATATGTATTAATATATACAAAACTGTCCCATTCATTTAAAATTCAAAAAGAAGAAAAACCAAACCCTAACATTAAAATCCCAAAAGAGCAGTTGCCCTTAATAGGAATAGTAAATGGAAGAAGGTAACAATGAGGTTTTGAGGGATCTGGATAATTTCTATAAGAGCCCAAGGAGTGAAGCCAAAGAGACAGAGCAGTGGGCAGGGTTCTTGCCTTGCATGCAGCAGACCAGGGTTCAATCCTCAGAGTACTATGTGGTCCGCAAACCAACCTGGGTTTGACTCCCACACGACATACTGTCTTAACTTTGTGAAGCCTACTCTATAGCTCTAAGAATCACTAAAAACGATAGTTAACTAGTTCCAAAACAATATAATGAATGTTGATCAAAGTCTCAATCCAAAATTCTACTGCATGTAGCATGACTAAAAGAGTTGTGCAGAAAAATTCTATTCATTACACACAATCTGAACAGTCTAAACTTACTCAAGCACAGATACTACAAGTTGCTTAAAGTTCTTTAAAAAAAGAAATTATCACCAATAATTCTGCAACATTTTACATATCTGCTTATTGTCCACCAGGTTCAAGCATAGGAACAGACCTTTTCATTTTCTTTTTGATTATTCAGAATCCAGAATTCTAAATTCAGTGTGATAAAAACAGTCACTTAACGCAGGCCTCTGGGAGTTAGCGGTTTTTTTGTTTGAGTTTTTAACACACCATAAATTTACTTCTTTACTTTCGCAGTTCACAACCAACTGTAACGAGCAAGTTAGAATGAGGAGCAAAGAGAGAACTGCTAGAAATAGGCAGAGTTGACTGAAATAATAGCTGACTTAGTGGGAGAGATAGCAGAATACAAAAGCAGAGTCTCTAAATAATCTTCTGTAGGAAAAACTACATGAAGTGTCTCCATAGCCACTAAGGTGGTGGTTAGAGAAAGATCAAGAGTAAAATCATTAGTAGGAATTAAATTACACTTTACAGAATTCTCTTTAAAAAGGGGGAAATATCATAGATCTGTAAAACAAAAATAAAATGGGGGGGGTGGAGGTTTAATCCTTATTTTTTTCTTTTTGTGTCATACTCAGGAAAGCTCAGGGGTTACTCCTGACTAGGCATCAGGAATTACTCCTGGCAGCACTTGGGGGGGGGGACCATATAGAATACCAGGGATTGAACCCAGGTTAAGGTTAATGACATGTAAGGCAAATGCCCTACCTGCTGTACAATCACTCCGCCACCGACCATCGACATTTAATCCTATTTAATAAAAAGCAATTTAGCCAAAACATTTAAAATACTGTACAATGACTGAAACCTGAACACTTAAATTATAATTTTAAGTTACACAGATTTCACTCCACAATAAACGTTGAGTAAAGCAAGAGTTAATGAAAGAATTTTAAACTTAAATCTGGCCAGAGCTAGTACAGAGGATAAGGCACTTGCCTTGCATGCGGCCAACTAGGCATTCCAAATGAATACCTGATTCCCCCACTATTAAAAATTGGGGTGGGACTGGTAGGTAAGAAACATCTAATATTAAAGTGGATAAATGCTAACCTTAAATTTAAGCATGCATATCATTGAATTTTCACAGAAAACAGTATCAACCTATAAAAATAATCTGGGTTTTAATTCTTACTCATCGTAATTGAATCAAAAGTACATGTAAGCATTTCAATAACCCATGAAGCTTAACAGTGGCAGAATATTGACTAATACCTGGTTCTCTATTGCTAATAAATGTATATTTTAAGAGGACAATGTCAGCAACATAATTTTTCAAAGTTCCAAGCTGTATACAAGTTGAAGTCTATGCAGAATGAAAATTTATTTTGACTACTGTACTGTGTAAATTTTAACTCAAGTAAGCACTAATAATCATTTTCACAGTACAAAATAATAATAACACATATAAGAAAATAATAAAAATGGAGTAAGCCCGAGCATTTGTCCAACACATATCGGTGTAATGTGACTAGAATTTCTTAAACGTAGCAAAAATTTAAACAAATGTGACAGCCCCCTTTCTTAAATAGCCTCTTATGAGAGAGCAAATAAGTATTATATTACTCAAAACCATCGATAACAAAAATGAAAAGGAACAGATAGTGCCCATCACTAAATTTCCCTTTAACAGCAACATTAGAATTTTTTTAAGACAGAAAAAGGCAGACAAGGTCACAATCATATGAAGTTTAACTCTGGTAAATATTTTAAAAGGATATTCCAAAAGAAACACTGTATATAAAGGGAGCCTTTTAAAAGTTATCCTATTTTAAAAACAACAACAACCTTCAATAGTTGTAAAATAAAGACAAGAGAATGATCCTTACTTATTGTTCCATGTACTCTACTCGAAAAAGAGATGTTAGATTAAAAAGATCTCACCGGCCAAGCATATGGGGAGAAGTGCCCCCCCCCCCCACCACCACACACACAAATACCTACCAGGACCATCCTATCAAAAATTTTAACACAACCTTTTTTTTTTTCAAAAGATGGCATCCTATGGAGCAAAGTGGTATATTAAGAAAATTCGGTACTGTTTTATGGTTTGGCATTACAGACAAGTATTCCTGCCAGACAGGTGAATATTTTGTCCAAAATTTTTTGAGTTATTAAATACCTCATAGTAGAAGAACCTGTATTTCGGGTAGACACATCTTTAGATAAGATATATATATATATATATATATATATACTACGGAAGAAGGTTTTCTGGTTTGTGAAGAATTATCTATGGTTGAGGATGAGGGATTTGATAAACAGAGGTGGCTGTTTATTTTTTAATTAAAAAATACTATTTTGTTTTGGATTGAGGTAGCTTTTTGCTTACACAGGAGGATTACAGGTCTCCTTAAGTGTGTATCTCACCATATCTACTGCCAAAGCAGGACTATCCCTGCCCCAGAGTCCAGTGCATCCCTGTCACCCTACCTCGTTTCTCATCATATCCCTCCACTAACCCCAGTTCTGCAATTAGAATCCAAAGACAGATCAAATTGTCAAATGACTTCACAGTTCAGAGACGTTTCTAGGAAATAGATGCAATGACTCCACTTTTAAAAAACAGCCATAAATAAGACTAGAAGGATCTCTCAGCGTGCAAAAACGAGAACAAACAAACAAAAAACCGAATACTTAGGTGTACAGCTAGTGAATTATTCCTTTTATGTTCCTATGGATAAGGGAATCCTATACGCATGATTAGAAATCAAGGAAGGAAGGACCCTTAAATCACTGCCTGGAGACTTTAAGTGTCCTCCACAATCCAGCCGGGTAACACCAACTGCAGAAACACCACTAGCACTTGTGCTTAAAAAAAAAAAAACGGACAAGACTCGGGCGGAGACCCCCGTGCACACGCGCGCCTGCACCCGGGGGTCTGGGGGGGGCGGTGCTGAACTCGGCCCCCCGGGTCTTTGGGAAAGGAAAGACGAACTGCGGAGGTAAACAAGGCAAAACAAAACAAACAAAACTAGAGGACCTAGGCGGGGCGCCCCCCAGCCCCTGCAAACCAGCCTGGGAGAGGCTGAGCGCTCCCCGCCCCGCCCTGCGCTCTCCCTCGGACACCCGGTCGCACGTTCCAAACAAATACCTCCCCCAGCCCCGCCCCGGGCTCGACCCACGGAGCACAGCCGCGAGCCGGGGATCGGACTCGGACCCCTCGCCGTGCGCTGTTGGCCTCCGCCCCCAGAAAAACCCTCAGGGCCGCGACCACGGCGGCCTCCTCCCCGGCCCCGAGCGCTGGGCCGCGCCGTACCTGCACACGGTGATCAGGTTCCTCCTCTCCACCGCCGCATTTCGGGCGCTCAGGTTCTTCTTGCTGCCGCCCCCGCCCCCGGCGCGGCTCCCGCCCAGGCCCCCCAGGCTCCGGGTGGCCATCGCGGGCTATTTCCCGGCGCCCCTTTTGTCTTGACACGCGACCCCTTCCCGCCCCCCACCCCCACCCCACCCCACGCTAGCTGCTCCGGGTTCTCGCTCGGAGATAACCGTGGGGACGCGCGCGGGAGGGTCGTCGGGAAGGAGGGACTAGCGGGAGGGTGTGGAAGACGGCAGGGGTGGGGGGGATCGGGGGCGGCGCACACCCGAGCACTGGCGGCTCGCGCTCCTCGCCCGAGCTATTACACACAGACACGCGCGCACACACGCACGCACCACCCCCGCCCTCGCGCGCGCCGTCGGCCGCCGGGCGGCGCGTGCGGATTGGCGTCTGGCGCGCCTGGACTTCCCCAGGGACCACGGCGGCGGGCGCGCGCCCGCAGGTCCCGCACGCCCAATCACCCACCCGCCCCGGCCACCAGTAGCGCCCCAGCCGGCCGCCGCCTCGGCGCTCCCGCCGCCCGCCCGTCGGGAGCCAAGCGCGGAGCGCGCGAGCGGGGGTGGAGGGGAGGAGGGGGCGGAGCCGGCCTGCGGGCGTTGAAGCGCGGAGCTGGAGCACCGCTGCGGTGCGTGGGCAGCTGTCAAGGCGCGGGGCTTAGGTCTGGCTGCTCGTCTGGAGCTGGCATTCTGCAAGGCGGTGGGGAGTGAGGTGTGGCAGCGCCTGGCTGAGAGCTGGGATTTTAAGGGCCGGGGTCCCCAGTGTGCTCCGGCAGATTTCCTACCCCAGCTATAAATTAGCTGGCATCTCTGGTTTTAACGGTTGATCGCTCCCTCGGAAACCGACTCTCAAGTCCCGTGGTGTCTGGAGCTACCGTGCCCAAAACGCCGCAGCGTGTGCTCCCGCACTCCACCCGCCGCGGCCTTACTCCCAGGAAGGGAGCCGGGCTCCTTTTGTTGTAACGCCCTCTCCTGGTGTGATGAACAGCTGCGTAACAGCCCACGGAGAGAGTGCCCATAGAACATCCCTCTGGAGGCTTTGGTGGTGGAGATTTTCTTGCTCCTCCAACGCCACATTGTTTCTATTGTGAGATCCTGCACGACCCGCAAGCTCTTGGAAGTCTTTTTCCGCACCCCCGCTCACATCTTCCGTCCTAGGCAGTAACTGGGAATGGAGTGGGCGGCGGGAACGTAGGAACAGTTTTGCCTTGACCCTGCTGGACAGCTAAACCTGAGAAACGGGCGTGATTTTCTTTGTCGCGGGTGCTCCAGACTATAGTTCCCACTTCCTGGAGCTTCGTCACCTTTCGTGACCCCTCCACTCTCATCTGCGGAAAGGTGGGGCTTCAAACCAGCTGTTCTCTGCGCTCACCAAACCCCTTTACCTCCCACTGCATCGGTATGTCCAGATTTTAAGTGTGAAACCTTTTTTTGCGCCTGTCCAGAGGTTCGCATCGAGTCGCTAAATATTTACTGGCTTTAACTTGAAGTCACATTTAACATTGTTTATTGAAAGTTTAGGATTTGTTTTCCTCAAAAATTCATCCACTTCTGGTTTCGAAGTTTCCATCGACGTAAATATCTCTGGGGTGCCAGAGCGATAGTATAACGGGTAGGACATTTGCATCGTATTCAGCCTACCAGAATTCCAGGCCTGGCATCCCATAAGGACCCCCACCCCAGCTACCCACCCCACCAGAACTAAACCGGGAGCACCGCCAGTGTGGCCAAAAACAACACACACACACACACACACACACAAAAAAAAAAGAGGCAACCATCTATACAGATTTATGGAGTACAGAGCGCTCAAGGAGGTAAGGTGATTGCCTTGTAAGTTGTTGACCTCGGTTGGATATCTGGCAATGCGTGTACTTCTCTTAGAAATGCCAGCAGTGAACCCTGAGCTCCATGGGTGTGTGACAATTCTCACATCTCCCAACCGAAAAAAAAAATGAAAATCATAAAAAAAACCCTCAGCTATTCGTATAATGAGAATATAATGAAAAATATCTAGGAAAATATACCTTAGCTACAATAAATATCCACACATTTAAATGATAAAAAAGCAATTCAAACAAACTTTAAAACCTACATTTTATGTTAATAAAAAAGCAAGAGGGGTTTCTAGGTCGGTGTGCCTGTTTGCAAACATTTCTATTAGCTCTATAGTGAATAAGACCCTGTAAGATGTGCCTTCTAGAAAAGCTAGTAAATTGACAAGTCTCTTTTCTTGCTAGCTTAACAGTTTGAATACAGAAGAAACTATCAGGGAAGAGATGCATTTGACTACACAGAGCCGATAATTAGCACGCTTACATTATTTAAACACAGATTAAAACTAATTAGGAAAAAAAGAGTGGAAAGTCACATCAATTATCTACACAATTCTTAGAAACTAGACAGTTTTTCTTGGGGAAAGGAGAGAACACATATTTGAATTACTTAGCGAGGATTTAAAACTAAGTGGTCATTGTCAGACCACAATGCGTTAAATTAGAAGTAAATCACACACAAAAACAGAAAACCATATCAAACATCTGGAAATTAAACAGTGCGCTATTGAACAATGAGTGGCTTAGAAGGGAAATCAAAGAGGAAATCAAAATATTCCTAGAAACGAAACTGAGGACCCGAGTTACCAAAACTTATGGGACACGGCAAAAGCTGTCTTAAGAGGAAAATTTATAGCTCTACAAGTATTCCTCAGAAAGGAGGAGCGAGCCCACATAAATAAACTAACCTCACAGCTTAAGAGCTTGGAGAAGGAACAACAAAAGGTGCATAACCCGAACAGGAGGAAGGAAATAATAAAACTCAGAGCAGAGATTAACGAAATGGAAACCCAAAAAACAATCCGAAAGATCAATGAAACCAAGAGCTGGTTCTTCGAGAAAATTAGCAATATCAGTAAGCCTCTAGCAAAACTCACAAAGAAAGGGAGAGAGAAAACCCTAATAAACCGAATCAGAAATGAAAAAGGGGTCATTACATCAGAAACTACAGAAATTCAAAGGATCCTCAGGGAGTATTTTGAGAAGCTTTATGCCACGGAACATCAAAACCTCGAGGAAATGGATAAATTCCTAGACTCCTACAGACTCCCAAGGCTGAACCAAGAAGACCTGGAATACCTGAACAGACCTATCACCACCAAGGAAATCGAAATGGTAATAAAAAGTCTCCCCAAGCACAAAAGTCCTGGCCCAGATGGATTCACTAGTGAATTCTTCCAAATCTTTAAAGAGGACTTACTCCCGATCCTCTTTAAGCTTTTCCATGAAATTGAAATATCAAAAACACTTCCGAACAGTTTCTACGAAGCAAATATCACACTGATACCAAAAGCAGACAGAGATACCACAAAGAAAGAGAATTACAGGCCGATATCCCTGATAACACAGATGCAAAGATCCTCAACAAACTACTAGCAAATAGAATCCAACTACTCATCAAAAAGATAATACACCATGACCAAGTAGGATTCATCCCAGGGATACAAGGATGGTTTAACATTCGGAAATCAATCAACATAATCCATCATATCAACAAAAGAAAAGATAAAAAGCATATGATCATATCAATAGATGCAGAGAAAGCATTTGACAAGATCCAGCACCCCTTTATGATGAAAACCCTAGCCAAAATGGGTATAGAGGGGACTTTCTTCAACATAGTTAAAGCCATCTACCACAAGCCTAAAGCAAGCATCATCCTCAACAGGGAAAAACTGAGAGCCTTCCCTCTAAGATCAGGGATGAGACAAGGATGCCCACTCTCTCCACTGCTGTTTAATATAGTACTGGAAGTACTTGCAATAGCAATTAGGCAAGAAAAAGATTAATATTCGCAGATGATATGATTCTATACTTAGAGAACCCAATAACCTCCACCAAAAAACTCCTAGAAACAATAGACTTGTATAGTAAATTTGCAGGCTATAAAATCAATACCCAAAAGTCCATGGCTTTCCTATACGCAAACAGTGAGAGAGAGGAAAGCTACATGAAAAAAACAATCCCGTTCACAATAGTGCCCCAGAAAATCAAGTACCTAGGAATCAGCTTAACTAAGGAAGTAAAGGACCTGTACAAAGAAAACTACAAAACGCTTCAGGAAATAAAAGAGGACATGAGGAAATGGAAAGATATCCCCTGCTCATGGGTCGGGAGACTTAACATTGTCAAAATGGCAATACTACCGAAAGCATTGTATAAATTCAATGCAATCCCTATAAGGATACCCATGATATTCTTCAAAGAAATGGAGCAAATATTCCTGAAATTTATATGGAACAATAAGCCCCCACGAATTGCTAAAGCAATTCTTGGGAAAAAGAAAATGGGAGGAATCAACCTCCCTAACTTCAAACTCTACTACAAAGCGGTAATAATTAAAACAGCATGGTACTGGAACAAAGGCAGAACTGTAGACCAATGGAACAGGGTTGAATACACTGACATCTCCCCTCAATCATATGATCATCTAATCTTTGATAAAGGTGCAAGAAATGTGAAGTGGAGTAAGGAAAGCCTCTTTAACAAATTGTGCTGGCATCACTGGACGGCTACATGCAAAAAAAATGGGCTTAGAACTCTGCCTAACACCATGTACAAAAGTAAGATCAAAATGGATTAAAGACCTCAACATCAGACCAGAAACCATAAGGTACATTGAAGATAAAGTTGGCAAAACCCTCCATGACATTGAGGCTAATGGTATTTTCAAAGATGCCACCCCACTGGCCGAGAAAGTGAAAACAGAGATAGATAAATGGGACTATCTTAAACTAAGAAGCTTCTGCACCTCCAAAGAAACAGTGACCAAAATACAAAGACAGTCTACAGAATGGGAAAGGATATTCGCCGAATACATATCTGACAAGGGGTTGATATCAAGGATATACAAAGTACTGGTTGAACTCCACAAGAAGAAAACATCCAACCCCATCAAAAATGGGGCAATGAAATGAACAGAAACTTTCTCAAAGAAGAAATCCGAATGGCAAAAAAGCACATGAGAAAATGCTCTACATCATTAATCATCAGGGAGATGCAGATCAAAACCACAATGAGATACCATCTCACACCTCAGAGACTGGCCCACATTCAAAAGAACAAAAGCAACCAATGCTGGTGCGGATGTGGCGAGAAAGGGACACTCCTTCACTGCTGGTGGGAATGCCGACTAGTTCAGCCCTTTTGGAAAACAGTATGGACGTTTTTCCA